ACCCCGTGCAGCCCATGTCGGCCGTACCCTTCCAGCAGCCTCCTTACTGGGATAGCATGGTGGTTTCTATGCTACGAAGCCAGATCGAGTATTACTTCTCGATTGAAAACCTCTGCAAGGACATGTACCTCCGTCGACGCATGGACTCTCAGGGTTTTGTTCCTCTGCTGTTCATTACTGCCTTCAAGCGCATGCGAGAGTTGTCTCCCGACACCTCATTGATCCGCAGCGTGTGTGAGGAGGTGAATGAAATCGACTTTGTTATCGGCGAAGACGACTGTGAGCGAGTACGTCGCCGACACGGTTGGGCCAGCTTCGTCCTGCCCATGGAAGAACGTGATGAGCTTGCCCGCAACCACGGCCCCCAGCATCTCACATATAAGAGCAGAAGCTACAACTACAACCCTCAATACAATGGTGTCCCCCCGGTTCCTTATGGCATGCCTTCGCCCCATGGGTTCCCAGCCCAGGGTTTGCCAGTAGCGGATGATCAGTCTTTCAAGGGAATCAATGGTCTTCCTAACGGCAACGGCGCCGGCCATGGCGTCAACAGCTCGCTGTCCGCTGATGTGCCCGACTTCGCCCCTTCTTTCGGAGGTGAAGAGCAAGTCAACCTTGAGGTTCAGTCTGGCCTCACCAATGGCCATTTCGTCCCGGCAGCTGTAAATGGTCTGCCTAACGGTGTCCACTCTCAAGAGTAAACGAAGATTTACACTTTGCGGCGTACCGAGTTATGGCGATATGAAAGAAGTGAAACGCATGGGAAACACAGATCTTGACATGATCTGCTGATACCTGAGTGACCTCGGTCAATTTCAACTCTGCTTGATTTGAAGTTGATCATGTTGTGAGGCTTAAAACAGCCAGGCTTGGTTTTTCTTTTTAATGTACTGAGAGATGAGAGACTGTTTAGTCTCTCCTTTGCATCTGGTTCCTACAACAACTTGCATCAACTCTCCCCACAGCACCAGGATGCTTGGCGTATGGTATATTATAACAAGCGTCAACGAAACGCATGTCGAGGCCTCGACAGGACAAACACTGCATTTTCGGTGCATATTTGGGAGGGGTGTGATTTTTGATCTTTGATTTTTTTTTTTGGGCAGGGACCTACAACTCATTTTGGTTCAAAAGGGACGGTGATAACGAGGGCGCGCTGGTTGCTTTTAAATTGGGTCTTTCAATCCTTGCGCATGAACACTCGTGTGCATAATCATCAGCGCGGTGATGGATCATGAGATCTGGTCACCTTTATATTACGCCAGGGTCAAGGTGATGCTGGCCGTCCAAACGGAGTTTCGGAATCATCAGCTTAAGCCAACGAGAGACAAGAAGGCCATGTGAAGGCACGTCACATCCTTGGTGGGCGGGAGGGCGACTGGTGATAACAACTCTGATTGATTTTGTGTGGCATATTCGATCAGTGGAAAACTGGTGCGTCCCAGGAGTTAAAAGTTATTTCTGTATCTTGCCCGCGAGGGAGTATGTCATTGGACAGACGGATGGCCAAATGTCGATCCAACGTCAGCATAATAGACACACGACTTATACCGAACAAACGCAGTGCATGGTACCAGCACCGAGGAAGTCCCCTGGCTTGAACGCCGCCTCTGGTCGCGATTTTAATGATTGTGGTTCTTGACACTTGAGAAAACAAACAATGGCCGGACCCGCATCCTCTGCTGTTGGTCAACTACTGATCCTACTGTCATTTCCGAGAAATCCAACCTTCTCCATACCTGATACCGGTGGTGAGAGCCAGACTCTACCTGGATTTCTTCTGATTAGGGTTACGAAGAGGGGCGTGTGCGTGTGGGGGCCCGACAACAACCGGGACGGCTTCTAAGAGGAGGGCGAAAGCTGCATGCCACTTGGGCAGCAATTTCGACTTGCATTTGAGCAAGACGTCCTGCTTCTTCGGAGGCCTCTTGTTCTTGAATTGCCGGCCATGGCTCGTTTTGTTCAGATTGGTCTTACTTTTCATCTCATCTTATTTAACTCAAAACGTAGAGTAGCCTATATCCATTTACTTGGCGGACAGTGGGCTTCAAAAAAACTTGTACAATAGTTATATATCAAAACAACAGACAACGGGGGGGGCGAGAAGAAAAAGGAGAAAAGGAAAAAAAACAAGCAAGAATTCGCTTTGGCGAGGAGATTGGACATGTGCAAGCACGGCTTTCATTGTGAGAACGTGAGTGACTTCGTACGTATGATCGACTCTTGGTGATTTGATCTATCTGCAGGGTAGTCTCTCAGCCAAGAAAATTGGCCATTGATCTCCTTCGATTGCTTGCTGTTCTTAGATGGCAGATCCCCAAGCATGGGAGGCGAGTCAACCAGGGGCGGAACGGGACGGGGGTTGGTTTACTTGCATGGCCCCCTCGTTCTCGACTCTTGCGGGCCAGAATTAGCAACACGGGCAGCTGGAGGCCTCATTTAGAGTGTCGGCATGGTGCGAATGTGTCACCCTTGTTTCGTCGCGGTGTGCCAATACTGGGAAGGATTCAGGTCCGATCCCTCGGGGTAGGATCTGGGATATTGGCGACCTGGGGGGCAAGTGGGTGACATTGGAAATGGCACTCCATTGATATATGCTTGATCTATTATCTTTCATAGCTAGCTATAGAATTACTGGAATAAGATTAAAGAAACAGAATATCCAGGCCTAAATATTGATATTCTCCAATCTCTATTTGGAGTGAGCTACTTATTTAGATATTTAGATATTTATTTGGGTGATTATTTGGGTATTCATTTGGGTGTGCCATTTCCTATGTCACCCATTTGGTAGGTTAAGGGTCCAAGGGGGAGAGAGCCGGGGCGGTTATTTGGGGAAGCGGGAGACTCTGGGGCCGCTCCGGGTGGACTGAGGACAAATGATGACCGTGGATGAGTGGTTTCAGCTTGGGGACCTGGATAGTGTCACCAGAGTTGGTAGATTGGTTGCGATGCTGTCTGGAGGTGGCACAGGCTCGTGTCATTGTCAGTGAGGATCAGTGCCGTGCGGCAAGGCCCCGCTTCCGCTCGGGAGCGATCATGTAGGATGTCGATGGATGGTGGCCGACATTCAAGCTCACGGGCCGGCTGGGCCATTCTACTTTTAGATAGGGGATATGTGGTCTCTCGAGATTTGTTTCTTTGCATTCACGACAGTGGTACTCTCGAGCACTGCATTTAGGGTAGGTGATTTGAAGCCAAGCCTCACTGTATCTCGTGCCAATTAAGAGCGGGTAGGGCGGAGTCCGCGGGTGACGTCACTGACTGGGAAGGCTGCCTGCAGAGGCAACAGCAGACTCGTGTAAGATGGATGGATACCTGCCTTCTTGTCACTATACTCGTGAGCACTAGAAGCGAGTCTCTGCAAGTACCTTATGCCTTGGGACTCGTGATTGCATATTGTAGTAGCGCTACTACTATGCATGTGTGAATGTCGCGAATTTAGAAAGTCGCATCCTTCAAGGACAGGCGCGCGCCGGCTGTAGGAGGAACTCGCGTATGCACGTCAGTCCTCGGCCGCTTGAGAAGGCAAATGCGGGTGTTGGGTCTAGGCCAAAGCATATCGAAGTCCAACGGTTGATGCGACGGATGAGGCCATGACACTAATCTGGCGCACGAGATGTATGGGGGCCCACCCACTTCAAGCGACACCTTAATTAATTCTGTGGTCAGAAGGACAATGGCTCCCTCATTGTTCTAGTCAGCGAGAGTTTGGCCTGGGTCTGGCCGCCCGAAATGCTAGTCGAGTGTGGAATAGCATGCCCAGCCGGGGCGTAATTCTGGAGGAATGATGTGCAGAAATTCTAATTAGGCATGATCCCCAACCTCATCTCTTGTTTCGTGGCTTGTAGACACCCATCATCAATCTCTTGGCCTCCACGCCTGGGTGGCACTGGTTCTTCGGTACATCGGTCTCGGAGGTGGCAGTGCTCGAGGGCAGCGCATGGCATAGCCAAGTCCAGATGGCATCACATCACCTGTCTTGGCTGGGAACCCGGAGTCTCCGAGGGCTTGGGAGAGCAGGGCAAACGGCTGCGCAAACAACCAGCTGCAAGGTTGCACGTTGGGCGGAGACGCAGAGGGGCTTTGGCAGCTGGTTGGGCTCGACCCCTCTCTTTTCTCGTCGCCTTGTGATCTCCCGCTCTGACTGGAGTGGCGCCTGTCTCTTGCATTAGGGACATTACGTCTTCCTGCCCCGCTCCAGCCAAGGGAACTGGGCTGTCCCATTTCCATCCATGGATGCGCAAGGTCTCGCCCAGTTGGGCTGTGCTCGGGGCTGTCTGGCAGCCCTGTCTTTTACAGCGAGAGCGAGACACTGGGCTCTCGCTCTGATGCATGCTGTAGCAATGTCTCGTCGGTGAGGTATCATGGATGTTCCCTCAGCGGTTCGCAGCAGGTACCTCGCTTACTGGCCACCCACCACCGTTGTGTTCCATCAGTGTTCCAGCGCGTGAGGCTCCAGCTCCGTTCATGCCCGCTGGCTGATGGGCTGCTCGCCGTTCATTGCCAGGCGTATCGCCCAGGCTGGTACATCCCTACATAGTCAGGGAGGTGCTATCTCGACTCCCGCCGCCAGCTTAACAGGTACATGGCCTCGCCTTCCAGCGTTGTTCGCCATAAGCTCCGCACCGTGACGTCCTTGCCAGTGTCAGCACCCACCTGCACACGCTAACTGCCCACTGCTAACCTGGCCCACCAGCAAGGATCAGGCATCCCCAAACCAGATCGCCTTTCGCCCTGCCGGTGCCAGATGGTGGTTCGTTTTTCTTTCTTTCCATCTTCTAAGTATCTTGTGATCCCCGCGATTTTTCTCTGATCCTTTTTTCACCAGACAACAACTTTGATCAGCCCAACACCACAGTCTCATTCGCAACGGCCGACTGAGAACCCCATCCAACCTACATATCCAAACCACCATCCCCGTTCAATTGTGTGACCTTAAACTCATACCACATACATTTTCCCTTACTTTCTACCCCTCCAAGAACACATCCTGCCCGATGTCCAGCTACGGGTACGAGCGGGAACCCCCGCGGACTTACATCAGGGAAGAGCGAAGGGAAGAGCGAGTAGATCCTCGTTATGCCGACTCGCGCGCCGAATACACCAGAACATATTCCCGGGACTTAGTACCCCGCGCCCGCGAGTCCAGCGACCTCTCAATTGAGGAAGTGCGCCGTGAATTCCCTCCTCCCCAGGCTCGCGACATTCGTCGCACCAGATCCGCGGAGCCCAACTATTATGATGATGACGACGACTACTATGACTATCGCCGTGACCATGACCGCCGCTCCAAGAAGACCTCCACCACAATGAGCGTGTACCGCGAGGAGCGCCATGCTCCCAAGCACAGGTCCATGTCAAAGCAGGAGAAGATCATTGCTGCCGTCGCTGGTGCCGCCCTCCTTGCTGGAGGCAAGGAGCTGTATGACCGCCGCGAGGCCCAACAAGAGGGCTCTTCCGAGATCCACCGCAACCCTCTGGCCTCGGTGGCTCTGGCCGGCATTGGCGCACTTGCTGCCTACCAGGGTGCCCAGTACTACAACAAGGTGCAGGCCAGGAAGGACCAGAAAGCCGTTGCCATTCTCAACCGTGGCTACTACGACTCTGACGACGACATGAGCACCAAGGAGAAGAAGGGCCAGAAGAACTTCCTCGAGAGCGCCATCGCAGCGACCGGCCTCGGCGCTGCTGTCAAGTCTCTCACCGGGAAGGGTGACGGTGACAAGACTCGATCAGGCGAGCCACGATCAGGAGGCAATAAGATGCAGAAGGCTGCCATGGCTTCACTGCTGGCGGGTGCCACCGAGGCCTTCCGTGTCGCAAAGGAGCCTGGTGGTTGGAAGGGTGAGAAGACTCGCCGCATCCTGACCGCCGCTGCGGGTGCTGCCACCATCGACTCAGCCCAGAACAAGGACCACGGAAAGATTGGTCTCGCAGAGTCCGTTATTGGTGGTCTTGTTGGTAACCGTCTCATCAACGGTTCCAAGAACGATATCGAAGAGGACAAGAAGACTGGAAGGAGTCGTTCGCGCTCACGAGCACGATCATCAAGCCGCGATGGCGGCAGTAGCGGAACCGGACTTGCCGCTCTTGCTTCAGCTGGCCTGGGTGCCTTCGGCGCCAAGGCCGCATACGACACCTACCAGAACAGATCCCGTAGCCGAGCTGGAAGCGACGATTCGCGAGGCCGTGGTGACTCGCCAGACCGCCGCCGCAGCCGCAGCCGAAGTGTCGTCGACAAGGCCCGCAACAGCCTTGCCAAGCTGGGCATCGGAAACGGTACCGATGATGACCGCCGACAGACCCAGGATGACTTTGATGACCGTGGCTCACGACGCCCTCGACGCTACTCAGATGAGTACGACGATGATCACCGCTCTAACCGCGGACGGGACTACTACGATGACCGGGACCGGTCCTACCGGTCTCGCCACGGCGGCGACCACCATTATGACTCCGACCTAGGAGACTCCGACGATGATGAGAAGAGACACAAGAAAATGAGAGGTAAGTCAATGTTGATGTCAGGCCTAGCAGCCGTCGCCACAATCCACGCAGCACATTCTATATACAAGGGTGTGGAGAAGAGGGCGGCCCGAGAGACGGCCGTGAGAGAGGGGAAGATGACCACAGAGGACGCCGCAAAGCTCAGAAACAAGGCACTGCTACAAGATGCTGCTTCCGTTGGCCTTGCTGCATTGGGCATCAAGGGCGCCATCGGCGAGTTCAAGGAGGCCAAGGAGTTGTCTCATGAATGCAAAGAATTCAAGAAAGAAAAGGCGGAGCGGCACCAAAAGCGCATAGAAGCGAGGAAACAACGCACTGCGCCGTCAACTCGGCAGCAGAGTCCAAACAATTGGTCTTCGGGCCAACAGCACCAATACCCCGAATCAGACGAGGAAGATTACTATTACCACGAGGTGGCTCGCACATATGAGCATCCACAGCGTGCAAATACACTTCCTCCTCGTCCTTATTGATTCAGGGGTAGTTGGGATAAGCAGTTGGATTTCCTAGATTATTCTACGGAGTGCTCGCATTTCTGCATTTACGGATGGCATTGAGACAACAGGCAAACAAGAAGCAAGCAAGCAAAAGAGCGGCCTGTGCAAAATAAGCATGGAGTTTGGGACCAGATCACAATGATCATTAATGTCTATAACAGGGTGGTTGAGCCGATACGGCTCCCTGGGGTGTTATTGGTGTGCTGCGTGTGGTGATGGGGGTGTTCTTTTTTTCCTTTTTATTTCCATTTTTGTTTTGATCCTTTTGGCAAGCGACAGATAGCCCCTTGTTTCACTCCCCTTCCTTGTGCGCCATCACTTACATATGAGTACATGAGAACAAATGACTAATGACATATAATTTTCCCGCAGATCGCCGCTATTAAGCAGTGGAAGTCTGGCACAGCAAATCCTGTCCAGCTAAAAGAGCCCGTTCCCGTCCTTGCCGGCATCCCGGGCCCCGCCTTGGCATGGAGTCTGGCTGCCGGCACAACGCCATGGGCAAGGATTCAAGGTAGCACGACATTGAATCATGGCCCTGCGATCAATCATCTATCATGCCCGGGGTCGACCAAAGATCCAGGCCATGGGTGGGGCAAGCGAGCGCATCGGCGCGATTGATGGCACGCTTGCACGCTTGCGGGAGGGAATACCTAGATTCAAGACACTTCTTTGGGTAAGTATACGGCCTGTGCTATGGGAGTACTGCTTCTATTTGCCAGTGTGGGTATCAGCGTGGGAGGTTCAAACAAGTTTTCTGTCTTTTTACGATGCCTGTCGCTTTCTATTGATGAGTGTATCTCATGGCGATTTGACGAAGAACGTTACGAGTTGCTTTTTTCTACTACGTCTTATTTGGAGGGATATTGAGAAGGGACATATTATGTTACGATTCGATGAATATGAAAACGAAGCCCTCTATCTGGGGTGCTTTGACCTACTGTATAACCGACCACCCAATGACGCTTATCGTGTGTTTTCCTCCGCCATTGTGCGACTAGCTGCAGCTGCTGTAACGCCCTACTGAGCCGGTATCCGGATCGTCTCTTCACTCATGACATCACCAGACCCTATTCCAGAGCTTGCCAGCTGTCCTTGTCTCACTTCCGGGTCTGACAACCAACCCTCATTTCTCCTGATTGTGCTTTCATTTTGCGCGCAGCTTCCTTCCCCATTTCCCACGGAGTTGCCATAAATACGTTGCGTGGAATAAGACCCTATCATGCTGTTGGTAAGACGGGCCGCAAAGGTGCCATGTAATCAGCCGCAAGGATGCATCCTGCTAGTCAGACTCTGTGAACGCCACAGGGCTGATGGGCAACTTCAGACCAGACCGGTCCAATAAGTTCCCCACTAGAGGAGATCTCAAGTTCATGCACTAGGACGAGACGATCAGGTTTCTCTTCCCTCTCCACCCCAATGGGTCGTATATGCGGGCGAGAAACAAGGCGGAGACAAAAGGGCGTCATTATGGGCATTGTATTTGGGTGTGGCATGAGACGAAAAAAGCGCGCAGGCTATAATACGTATAACATATATACTGTGTATGCACGCGATACCAAACCCCCCCCCCCCCCATCGAGATCTCTCTTCAAGACAAGTCGCCGCCGGCCTGCTTCCACTTCTGCGCCATGGCCATGATGCTGGACAGGTTCTTGGCCTGCTGGTCGTCGGCGGGGAACACGTAGTCCATGTACTCCTCCCAGGTGTCGTCCTCGAGCTGGCGGCGCTTCTTGACCGTGCGGGGCATCTGCTTGCGCACGCCCTCGACCTCCTCGGGGCTGCCGTGCTCGTTCTCGAAGGAGAGCCAGGCGTTGAGGAGGGCGACGCGCTCCTCCTTGAGGTCCTTGTCCCGCATGCGCCTGTGCGCGCGCTCAAAGACTTTCCGCGCGCGGGCCTTGGCCTCGTCGCTGACCGGGCGGTCCTCCTCCTCTTCTTCCTCCTCTTCGCCCTCGGGTAGGTTGATCTCGAAGTGTGCGTAGCTTATCCAGACCTTGACGTGGTCCGTCTTGTCGAGCAGGCGCTCGTACAGCTCGCGCGTGTTGTCGTACTCGCCCTCCTCCTCCTCGAAGTCGATGTAGGCCTTCCACAGCAGCTCGGGCATGTCGAGCGAGGGCTGGTTGACGGCGAGCTCGAAGATGGCCCTCGCGCGCTCAATGTCGTCCAGGCCGCGCTCGAGCTCGGCAAACTTGATCCAGGTCTGGCAGTTGGCCGCGTTGTACTCGATGTGCTTTTCGTACAAGGTGCGGCATCGCACGAACTCGAACAGCTTGCGCTCGAGCTCGATGTACCCGTTGAATAATCTGTCCTTGGGGCACATGCCGATGGCCCGGCCGAGTAGTTTCCTCGCGGCAGCGAGGTTTGCTTGCCTGATTTCGAACTGGGCGGCCAACACCCAGACCTTGGCAAATGTGAATTTCTTGTGGGGTATCAGGTTTAGGCAGGTAGTGTAGATCTGCCGCGTCCGCTCAATATCCTTGCCTTCCATCTCCTCCCAGATGGCGTAGAAGATCCAGAGGAAGATGTACCGTCGCCAGTGACGCTTCTCCTGGGTTGGTGGAACTTGGGCAACAGCCCTCTCGTAGACGTCGCGAATCTTTTCAAAATCGCCCGAGGTTTCTTCCAAGTTGACGTAGTCAAACCAAGCATCGTAGTTCTTTGGATTTTCTTTGACCTGCTCCTCGTAGTGTTTCCTTCTCTTGGATAGGACAACATCCTCAACGCCATCCTTGTCGCCAAACTGTTTCTCGAACGTCGTATATGCCTTGTGCAGGACCATCGACTTGGATCGAGGAAGGCGATCCAAGGCATATTTGTAAATGGCACGGGCGCGCTCATATTCCTTGAGCTTCGACTCGAACCGGGCGTATGCGATGAAGAGCTTCTCGTCCGCAAAGTCGTCGCCGAGCGACTCCACGGCATCCCCAAACACCTCCCGCACCAGGTCGCTCGTTCCATTCTCCTCTTCGAATTTGGCCCACTTGATCCAGTTGCGCGGCTCCGGGTGGACCATGGTGAAGTTGCGGAAGATCTCACGCGCCCTGTCGTACTCGCCATATCGCTTCTCGAGCTTGATGTAAGCGCTCCAGGCAGCCTCGTCCGGCTGCCACTGCATCCAGCGGTCGAAAACCTGCCTGGTACCGGCAATGTTGCCGAGCATCTCCTCCATGTAGACATATTTGTACCACAGCTTGTCGACCCGGGGGAGCAGCGCGACGGCGCGATCGAGAAGGTTCCGGGCATGGTTGATATTCCTCGACTTCATCTCGGACTCGATGTAGCGGACCCATAGCACCACGGACTGGGGGTGGACATCGAGCGCGCGTTCAAAGATGGACCGGGCGCGGGAGAACTCCTTTTGCTCCAACTCCCACTGGGCATACCGCGTCCAGTTATTCAGGTTGACGCGATTGCGACGGACGTAGTCCTCGAACTCCCTCCGCTTGCGGCCCTGGAACTCGTGCAGCTCTTCGAGATCAGAGAAGCGCTGGGCGGGCGCCTGGAGGGAAACCTCCTGTCGGTCGACGGCCTCGCGCAGAAGCTGCTCGGCGCTGATCTGCACAGGCGCTGCGGCCTTGTTCTTGACCCGGGGAGGGCCTCTGGAGGACTCCATGGCTGCTGTGTGGTGTCGTGGCCAGAGAATTGATGGATGGGCAGCGAACGAGTCGATGGCGAGAAGAGCGCGATCACCTTGTCGTTGCTGGGTGATGCGTCAAGAGTGTCGTTTATCGAAAAATGAGCTGCCAAGGCTTATCGCCCGATAAGGACCTGCTGCAAGTGGTGCACGGACCACTTTTTTTTTCTTGCTTCTGGTGCCTGGCGCCTTGTTTGTAAGAGAGCCGATGACATCGCTTGGTAATTTATGCTTTACCTCCTTCATCTCTCTATCGGACCAGCGTCCTCCAACCCCCCCGAAGGAATCAAGGTTTTGCGTCGAGGATCTTCACAATGACGACCATAGCCGACGATCTTCTCAACGACTTTGCGAGCTCAGGCGATGAGGCTGACGAGGTGGAGAACAACAATGGCCTGAAAGACTTTGAGGACTCTGAGAGCGAGGATGGCGATGCGATGGAGGTGGATGGTCGCGATGGGAAGCCTAAAGATGGGCTGGACGGCCGAGACGCAGGCGCCGAAGATGCGGGCGACACGGAGGCCAAGAAGGCCAAGGTAGAGAAGATGCAGCTGGGCGCCGTCAAGGATGTGCGCAGCGTCGCCTCGCTGATGCAGACTCTGGAGCCCATTCTCGAGGTTAGTATCCCCCGCCCCCGTTGGCCTGACGCCGACGCGCATCGTGTTGACGCTTCGTTTACATCTGTACTACGGAACAATAGCCCTGACGTGTTACCTCGAACGCTACAGAAAATTGCCTATTTCAAATCGCAGTCGGAAACGCAGACGTCCATCATCGGAAACATCGAGGACCACCCTGAATATCACCTTTTGACGCAGTCCAACAGCCTATCAACCCAGATCGATGGAGAGGTAGCCGTGGTTCACAAATTCATTCGCGATCATTATTCGACCCGATTCCCGGAACTCGAACGACTTGTCACCACGCCCCTCGAGTACGCCAAAGTTGTGTCTATCCTGGGAAATGGACCCTTGGATGCGGACAATATCAAAACACTTCAGACCGCGACCACCAACCCCTTGGGGGTTGGGCTGAAAACTGTCCTTGATGGACCGTCTTTGATGATTGTCACTGTGGAGGCTACGACGTCCAAGGGTCGCGAGATGGCCGCCGACGAAATTGAGCGCGTGTACCGGGCATGCGACATGGTCATCTCACTACACAAGGCAAAGAACACACTGACGGAATACGTCCAGTCGCGCATGAGCATCTTCGCGCCCAACTTGACGACACTTATCGGTTCTCTTACGGCAGCGCAGCTCCTCAACGTCGCCGGTGGACTGACGGGTCTTTCCAAAACCCCAGCCTGCAACATTGCCTCGATGGGCTCTAAGAAGAGGCAGGCCGGTTTGGCTACGAACATTGGCATCCGCCAGCAAGGCTACCTCTACCACTCGGAAATCATCCGAGGCATCCCCAACGATCTCAAGAAGCAGGCCATGAGAATCGTATCCGCAAAGCTTGTCCTCGCAGCCCGCGTCGACCGTGTTCATTCGAGCCCCGATGGCTCCACGGGCGAGGAATTAAAGCAGGCGTGCCTGGACAGGCTGGAGAAACTCACAGAACCCCCGCCGAACAAGGGACAGAGGGCTCTCCCCATACCCGACGACAAGCCGGCACGGAAACGAGGTGGACGGAGAGCCCGCAAGGCCAAGGAAGCGCTGGCGATGACGGATCTGCGCAAGGCCCAGAACCGCGTGGCCTTTGGAAAGGAGGAGATCGAGGTGGGCTACGGCACGGGCAGCGGTACAGTCGGCATGGGCATGATTGGGCAGGCCAACGAAGGCAAGATCCGGGGGATGCAGGTCGACAACAGAACGAGGGCGAAGCTCAGCGCGAAGAACAAGGGATGGGGAGGAGCCAGCACTGTGGGCGGAGGCGCCTCGTCCATCGGCGGGTTCGGCCAGGCCTCTGGCATCGATCTTCGAGGCAAGGGTCTACGAAACTCGGGCGTCGGGAGCAGCATCGGATCTGGGGCCGGCACGGCCTCCTCGCTGGCGTTCACCCCCGTCCAGGGCCTCGAGCTGGTCGACCCCAAGGTGCAGGCGGAGCTCAGCAAGAAGCGCAAAGCGGAGGAGGACAGGTGGTTCAAGGGCGGCACCTTCACCCAAGTGGGCGGCTCATCATCTGACGGGTTCAAGGTGCCCGACCTGCCTGCAGCAAAGCGGGTTGATACAGGCTCGACTAAGATGGGACCCCCTCCCTCACGGAAGTAAGAGAATGTATGACTCTTCTCGAAGGGACACCGTGTAGGCAGCGTTACGTGTTGCTCCCCGGCACCATCTCCTTGGCGCATCCATTTAATATCTGCGGGCACTGACGACATGTCAGCCCTTCTAGATATATATTTCGTCATCTCTAGCTGGCACTGTCCCCATCTTATGGATGCCACCAAATTGCAAGAAGTGGACTCGCAAATTGGTCGCACCGTGGCGACTTACGGACGTAGAAGGAGGAGAGGGAGAGTATGTGGTTTCGACGTTCAAGTGTCTGACCGGGTTCGACACAAACGGCGTGTGGCGTTTGGTTTTTCTCATAAATGGGGTAAGAATTTCAGGGTCTCTCTAGTTTTGGGAGGGTGGGAGCAGAAACGATCGATTCCCGGGGTGTAATTCCCGCTGTACGTACAAATGCATGCATGCATCTTCTTCTAGGTAGTTCAGGGTCGCAATCACAGATACTACGGATGAATGAATGCAGGGCAGCAAGCAATCACAGTTGGCCTCTTTGTTTTTTTTCTTTTCGTCACAAGAACCCCCAACCCTTCCTCATAGAAGCATGTGCAGAGCAGATTGATGTAACTCGAGCGCGCGTCGGGCAAATCATTTCCTAGCGTCGTCCCCAAGGGTCAGAGATCTGCAGAGCTTGTCTTTGGTCGGGTTTTCGCAAATCTCGATGACAATGCCCATGTGCCCGGCATGCCAGGCATCAACAAGTCGGTCAATCGCCGTTCTGAGGCGGTCTCACTCTGTGAGGGGGGGCGAACAAGGGCGGGACGGTTGAGGCTGCTTGCTTCTCGCGTGTCTTACTGGCGCGCTGCCAATTTTCACTACATCGACGCCACACGTGTTATTGTCTCTGATGAGGGGATATGGAGAGATGTGTGGACTCGCAGACTCAAGAAGAGATGATCTTCGTTTACGAGTGTGTGCTTGCGCGTTGCGTGTGAGTGCAAATAACGCGCGGCCGAGGGCGAAGGTGAGGGGGCCACTGGCTGAGCGGTTTTGGATGGGCGGCAGTTTTTTTTTTTTTTTTTTTAGTTTTTTTTTTTTAGTTTTTTTTTCATCTCTAGGCAAATGAAGCTATCTGTCTGCATTGACAGATTATAGTTTGCTGTTTCGGGGAGTTTTGGTTACTATTTTGGCCTTGGAGGTTCTAGGCGTGCGGAATATGCACTGGCTATGACGTCGTTCTGTAATCAGTCGCATCCCACGAAAACGGAAGTGCGAACGGAAAGGGAAACGGGCCTACCCTGACCACTGCTCGGTGCACGCCTGTGTCTGATTACATCGACCACTCTGTAGGTACATGCACCAGTACACACATACCTGGGGAGGTACTTGCATGTTGTCTCAACCCCCTTCCTCCCAACGCTTGAGTTACATGTCGCAGACTTGCTTTGATTTTGAAAAAAATGACTCTCTCATTGGTCCAGTGTATTTGTTGCTGTGACTGCGGGCAACAGGCAAACCGGGCTGTTAGTAGTGATTATCAAAACCCTGGGTCACAAGGCCGATAGCCTTATGGTTATCTTGTTGATCCGGTATCTTCAACCACCCCCAGCCCTGCAGCCGCTGGGGAAATCCCACCATGAAATTCGGGGGATTGGCTGCCCTGGTATGACGTACCCAAAGAGTAATTAGCTGTCTGATGATTTGGGCGAGGGACCCCACAGGGCCTGCCCGCTGTTCCCAGCGACTTTCGCAACGAGAACTTGGACCCATTGAGTGGGCGAGGCTCAGCCGACAGCCGAGTTGCAGTAGCTTGTGGCATGGCCATCTACTAACTGGCTTGGGCGGCATCCAGAGTTAAATCCAATGGAGGCTGGCATTGACGAAACAGGCCCAACTAGGCAGGTAACGCTTTCTTCAAGACACCTTGGGTTGCCGATGAGCTGCAATCAGCTTCTTGCTGTTCTTTATCTTCATGTGCATGTATGAGAAGGGGAAAGGCATCGAGGGTGCTCGTGTCTGAGTGGTAGTATGCGAACAGTTGCCATAGGGGAGAACGGTCAACGATACATACAACCATGATGCTCCCTGACCGGGCAGGTGTCTGTCTCTTTTCGGGCCAGCTCCCATCCAAATGAAGCCCGCCAGAGTGGTTGTGGTGCTAGGGCGCTTCCGGCGTGAGGTTCTGCGCTGACAGGTCCCCGGTCTTAGATTGGGGTGTTGAGAGACTGGTTGGAACGGGTCCACTGTGGGCGGCGTCTGCAATGTAAGTAGTAGTATGCAACCCAATGGCGTGAGAAAGTTGCGGCGTGCGCAGGGACCGTCTGCACAAGAGGTGCCTAGGTACTTCATGGCAGCCGCCTATTGAGGAGCCCACTTCAGTCGAGCCGACTTGTCTCTATGTGAATAACTGACATGAGATGTCGTGGATGCTGCATGCCTGATGTAGAATTTCCGATGCTCGCAGCTGTCTCTTAAGAAGTTGGACTCTAAATATGAGGATACTAGAATTCCAGCAAGGGCCTGAATTAACCCAAGGAAGCCCGCGAGAAAGAATGGATGGCATCCATCAGAGTTCCTGGCGCCGAGCCAAAGCCTACCAAACCCCCAACCATCACAGCCATGGTGAGCGGGAGGAGACCCTGGAATTACCACATGGGCTAGCGAGCCGACCCAAGTCATGATCTTGGAAGAAATCAAAGTAATTCCAGCTCGAATCGAGCTAGAATAACCCAACTTTGGGTTGGCCACTGCTGACGTGCAGCGAAAGCGGCGTGCGCCATCAAGCCAAGGCCGGGCAGCGCCGCGCCCAGGACTGCAATGCCCTGAATCTCCCTGTAGGGCCTGCCCAGGGTGCTCGGGCATGGATCCCACCCCACGCGGTGCCTTACCACAAGAGAGGTGAGCCAGACCCGTTCTCAGAGCCAAAGTCGATGCCGCCTAAACTTTCGATCGTCAGGGACCATCCACCAGTGTCAACATCCCGATCCGCTGCCATGATCGTTGTTTCCCACCAGCGCATCGGGGTCTGCTGTTGTGTTGCTTGCCCCTTCCTGCGCCTTCCATACGGGCCAGCAACAAATTTTTCTTCCTTGGTCAGGCAGACCGATGCGCCGGGAGATGAAGATCATATGTCATAGGGAGTAGCGATATCACCATCTCTAGGGAAACACCTGAGCGGTCGCTTTACTCCGCTCCAATCGCTACAAATCCAAGGTGAGCCAGCGGTGGCCATCGTCACCCGCCAACTCACCCACCACGGTCTGCCAGGCGGGTGGATCCGCGGGCGTCTTCGGTCTCTCGTATGTTTTCACCTGGCGACCCATCTAATAACTGTTCCCAATTTCCATTTGCTTGTGGAAAAGGCCGCGCAGCCAGCTACTGATGCATGGCCGCGTGCTAGTATTGTTAGTATTCTCTCTTGTGCCCTCGCTCCTCGGCTTCTTATTAAGAATGCTACGATAAAAAATTGGGTAACATGTAATTGTGACGTCGTTGTTAGGTACCCCAGCGCATGTCCTGGTATAGCCGAGTGCATGGGTGCGGCCCCAGGCCACAGCTTGTCGCATGTCAGGTCTCCCACACCAGCACCTACACAGGCCACAGCAATCCGGTACGGCTTCCCGCTGAGAGAGAGTTATCTGTTCCCGGCTTCAATGTCCGAGAAACCCTGCAAAACATGGAGTTGAGGGGATCAAGGGCCATGGGGAGCTTCCCTGGCACGCCACTCACCTAGATTGATTGCCCCTCCTCCGTAGCAAGGTTTGGTTGCCGAAGAAAATCGGCCTATATTATTAGCAGCTAGTCACAGTGCCCAAATCTTCCTAGTTGGCATGTGCTGTCTAGTCTGTAGCAACCAAATGCAGCCTCTGGAGTCGTAGTTCTGGGTGGTGGCCGCACACCAATTCAGCATCACCTTCCCGAACTGTCAGGGGGGCTACACCGGTGAAGAAGTAATGGGGTAGCTCGAGCATACATGTAACCGAAGCTCTCCTCACCTTCTTGAGCCGGAAGAGGTAAGCACTGTATCATGTTTATATCGGCGAGACACACCTCGGCAGCGCACCGAGGCTTTTGCCGGCCAGCTCCAAGGTGTTTGTCTGTTGTATTTTATCCAGTATCCGCGCTCTTCTCTTTTGTTTTGTGGTTCTTCCCAGGGCGATTTGTTGCCTAGATGAGGTTTGGGTGAGTAATGAGAGGGCACTCTTTCTCTGCCCCACCCCGCGGGCCAGTAACACTGCTATCCAGGACGTCAATCGGCAAAACTCGATCATTGGCTGATCACAATATTTTCTGGGAGACCCTGAACCCGGACCCCTGCCACGACCCTTGGGATGTTAGCACCCTGGTCCCGATCCCTCCTTCTTGCGTCTTCCTGGACCCTGTTTGACTTTGGTCGCAAATGCCAGCTCCTGGTGTAGCGTGTGCTTTTTTCCCCCGTGTAGCTACATGATCATTGACGATGGAATTGTCTCTGATGGTAGAATGCAAGTCCCGGATGTGCGAATCTGGATCTCGATCCATATAATTCTCCCCCCTTTTTTGAAAACGCATGTCGAATCCCTTGCTTTGTCCCTTACTTGGGCTGCTTTGTTCATTGCCAGACGGTCGGTATGCACATTAATTGTGTCTCCGATGCATTACGTAGCTGCTGACGGATGGACCGGGGCGTTCTTGTAAGCTGTGGGGCAGCGCACCCGCCGACTTTGGGGGGCTTCATGCACTAATCAAGCGTATTTTGAGAGGGAGCGAAGCGCGCAAAAAGGATGAATTCCATGGTGGGCTCAACTATTTTCCCAAGTTAGAGATGAATGTATCTAGCGGTCACCGAGCATATGTAGAAACTAACGGGGCTCATGGCAGTTGTCATCAGGATGACAGCCCAGCCTGGCATCTGCAGGGATATGGGTTGCGCGGGGAGAGCTCCGTGCATTGGCTTTCAAGAGGCATGACGCTAACTATGACTTGTTAGCAAAAACATTAATACTTACAGAGGGCTGGTTGCGCTTTCTTTTAGCCCAGAGTAGCTCCAGAAGGGAGAACCT